TAGGGTGGTCCACATTTTCATGGCAAAAAAAAAAGTTGGTCCACATTTTCATGGCAAAAAAAAAAGTTGGTCCACATTTTCATGGCAAAAAAAAAAGTTGGTCCACATTTTCATGGCAAAAAAAAAAGTTGGTCCACATTTTCATGGCAAAAAAAAAAGTTGGTCCACATTTTCATGGCAAAAAAAAAAGTTGGTCCACATTTTCATGGCAAAAAAAAAAGTTGGTCCACATTTTCATGGCAAAAAAAAAAGTTGGTCCACATTTTCATGGCAAAAAAAAAAGTTGGTCCACATTTTCATGGCAAAAAAAAAAGTTGGTCCACATTTTCATGGCAAAAAAAAAAGTTTGTCGGATTCGTCGGGCCGGGTCGGAATTCTTGTCGATACTATGGTACCAGGTTCTGTGCAAAATTTCATTCCGATCTGATGATATTTTCCTGTCCCGCAAAGCGGCCAAAGTTTCCACCATAACAACTGGTCTCAATAGGGTGAACATGTGTATTTTAACCGTGCCCTGTTTGCCATGCGTGACACTGGCTGGGCTGAATGTTGCCCGAACGATCACCTCCTGACTAACTAACCATTCCATCGCTGCTCTCAGCAGCCGGAGACAAACTCAAACGCACGCCGAACACACAACGGTCACCTACTGGCGAGCTAATATCTTTCAATTGAAGTCGAGAATCGCCGGCATTCTTACTGGACGCTGAGCTGAGGACGCCTTCACCACTGCTCGTCGGCGCGCTCGTCACCTACGGGTGGTGAACGACTTTGCGGAGAGGGGCGTCGCCCTCATCAGCGCGTTCTGCGGCGCCATCACGCGCGACGAGGAACAGCGACAGCACCTTCTGCAGGTCGTGGAGCGACACCGGGCGTTGCACCCGTGCGCGAAGTAGGCATGGGATGGCACGCACGGCGGATTTCGTTTTTTTTTGCGGTCTAACAGTGTCACTAGTGTTGATGGACATTATAGACAGATGGACAGATAGACAGATGGACCAGTTAACATGGACCAACAATCTCACCAGTGTTGAAGGATAACCACGGTTGCCTTTTTTGCAATACATGCGTTCCTGTCTTCCGTCTTTGAATTATTGCAAGTGCGAACTGAGCAAAACAAAATCCTTACTGTACGGGAGAAACCGTACTACCATTCAGCCCCGTAACATTCTTTCCATAGGGGAAACTTTGGTCGCTCTGCGGGACGGGATAAAATTATCCGATCGGAATAAAATTTTGCACACATCCTTGTGTCATAGTATCGACAAGATTTCCGACCCGGCCCGACGAATCCGACAAACTTTTCCAAAATGGACCACCCTACTGACCAGCCTGAATTGGAAAACCCAAGTATTTGTGCACCAAGTTGGAACACGCTCCACCACCCAAATGGTTTCATTCTGTTAGAATGGAAAAAGACCATTGTTAAGAGGCCTTGCAAGGAGGTTGTAAAAAGGTAGTCAAGCTACCTCTTCAGTCTGGGGGCATGGGTGAAATTATTGAGTCTCTTAAGGCCTTCTCAAGTTCACTGAGGCCTTCTCAAGTCCACTGAGGGGCGACCGTTTGCAAAAGTAGCGAATGTTGCGGTCTCGTCAGGGTTTGTCAGGCTCCGTTCAAAGTGATAAACGGTCGAGGCGTTCACCAGGTTTGATTACTTTTCTTGTTGCAACAAAAACCCATGAAACTGTTGGCGAGCATCTGGAAAATGTTTGGCAAAAATTTGCAATCTTCAACAAGCCCTGACATAACCCAAAATTGCTACTTTCGCCCCTCTGTGGGTTAGATTTGCAAGTGTGTGCAACACGTAGCGAATGTTTTTTCATCAGGGTAGGGTCCATTTGAGGTTCCAAAGGTTTGCAAAAGGTTAAAAGGTGTTCTAAATCAGTTTTTAATCGTTGCAGTTTTCCTTGCCTTTTTTTAACATGTTCAAAATTTCTTTGCGACCCCCAAAAAAACAAAACAAAACAAAACAAAAAAAAACAAAAACATAAAACGGTTTGCAATCTTTTGCAAACTATTGGGAACGCTGAGGAAAAACTAAAATGTGCTACATACGCACACACTCTCAAGCAGTCGTGTCTCAGCGAGATGTGGGCTGGTTGAACACTTTAAGGCCATAGCCCACTGAGCCACGAAGCTTGGCGAGTGTTTGCAGACAACCCGAATGTTGATACTGCACTTGGCTTCCTTCAATGTCGCAAATACTTTTGTCAGACATTCGCCAACAGTTTTAAACGTTGCAAACATTTTTACTTTGCAACATGTAAAAATGTCTGCAAGCTTTTGCAATTGTTTGCTACCTTTCAGTAAGCCTGACAAAAATAAATAAATAAATAAAAAATAAACATTCGCTATGTGCACAAACAGTCGCGGCTCAGTGAGATATGGACCTCAGGAAAGGAAGAAAGGGTGGCCTGGGAATAGTTGCTATGATTGTATTATTGATATGTTTTTTGTTGTGTTCTGTTGTACAATTATTTTTTGTTAAATGTTCTGTTTAGTTCTTTGTTACAGCTGCAGGTATTGCAAAAGTGCTATATAAAATTGCATTGTATTGTATGCGGAGGTACCGGTAACGTCGTAAGCAACCTCTGATTAGAAATTGTCTTTCCACCTCCGCAGAGAAGGCTTCTCTCTCACTTCTATTTCAAATCATCCATCTTCTCTTTCAAGAATATGTACATTTTTGTCCCTTTGAGGTGCTAGTTGAAGGCTGAGTCTGGACCTGAAGAGTTGTTCCATGCGCCTGCTGAGTGGTTGCTTGGTTTCCCCAATATACATGTATATTTATATATGTGCATTCCCGACTGCATATAGCAGATTAATTTTCTGAGCATGTGGTGCGCGGTTTTTGGGGCGTATCAACCTTTATATAGGGTGTAACCAGATTTGAAGTGTACTGGTATGTTAAATTGGTTGAAAATGCTTTTGAGTTTTCTGTGGCATTTGTCAAACAGGTCACAATTATCTACTGAGTATTTTTGCTCATTTTCAACCTGTTTGATCCTTGTGAATGATGATTAATTTATTTACTGTCCGTAAAAATCTATGTTACAGGAGTAACAAGGTAGTGTTTAGTGATTTCCGTAACAAATTAAGGCCAATTTGTCAAAGCTGGCAGGCATTTCTGCAGCAAATTAGAGGGCCATATAATCCATGACCAGAAAAAAAAAGTCAGCTTTTAAAGGCCAATTTTCGAGGTGCATGTTATTCTTGAGAAATGACGGTAACATAGCAAAGGTAAGTTTGTTTTTAGGACCTACTTCAAATTAGAGGTAAGATCGGGCCGCCCGAGCCCGACCCGAAATTCGGGTCGGGTCGGGCCTTAAAATGTCAATCATTGCCTCGAGTTCGGGTCGGGTCGGGTCGGGCTTTCTCTCTCGCTGACTTTTTTTTTTTTTTCGAGGCCGTCAATAGTTTTGGCCACGAGAGACCGTGGTTCGCACAACAACAGAAGTCGCCTCATCACATCACGTAATGTACTAAACTCTTGCAATGACAATTCAAAGAACTCCTTCCTGTCTCTGTCTATGATCCACCCATCATCTTTTTTGTCTCTCTGCCGCTCTCTCTTATTTCTTAAGGACGTACTGCTGCGGTGATTTACGGCCCATTTTTCAACACCTCAAAATGACGGACGGCCTTAAATTTTCCCCGTCCACTCTTAAAAAAAATATGTCAAATGATAGAAAATTGTCGGTTAATGTAATCTCTTCAGAAACAGAAATATAAAAGATGTAAATGTTGATACAGTCTTGTTTAACTTAGTTTTCGTTACAAAAGGCAGGCTTTGTTATCAGAAATCACCCCTCCTCCTCCCAAATAAAATATGAAATGACGGGTTTGCTTCGGGCTCGGGCCTGCAAATCAAGCTAAGTGATTGGGCTCGGGCCGGGTCGGGCTTAAATACCATCGGGCCGGTTCGGGTCGGGCTCGATTTTTTCGGACCTATCTTATCTCTACTTCAAATGTGTAACAGTACTTACCTTTCTGACAGGGTGTTTGTTCTTCTTTCACAAATCTACCTAAACGCTTTGCCAGGCTGTTTGTCACAGGAAAAACCTCCCCATATTTTATACCTACACATGGGATGAATTGTTAAGTTATTTATGACAGGTCATTAGATTCTGTATGAGTACAATGATCAAGTTGATAAGCTGTAGCAAAATTTCAAACTTACAGGTGTTACCCCGACGTTTCTCAAGCCGATCAGCAACGCTAACTCTTGATCTCAAAGTTTCTTCAAATACAATTTTGCCTGGGATGGAGAAAATGAAAATAACTTTAATTGATGCAACAATGTTTCTATTTTACCACCTAGCTAATGAAAATAAATGTCTATGCTCTGACAAGATAATAACCAAATCTTATTTTTTTCATGGTTTAAATTCAGTGCTCCGACAAAGAACGTGTCCACCCAAATAACATGAAAGTGACAAAAGTGATAAAAAATGTAGTCAAAATGACTTAATGAAAATCTGCCATTGCTTTGCGGTCCAAAGAAATTACAAAATGATTAAAATGAATAAAAACCAAACGGGCCTGGGCAAAAATGATGGTACCCTCGATATATATAATACCGCAGAACCTCTAGCGGTACTCAAGCAATTTCTGTAAGTGTCAATAAGACTTTTGCACCCATCGCACGCACGCACACGCGCGCGCACACACACACACACACACAGTTCATTTAATTTAACCAAGTTAAAAATGTACTTTCGATCAGTGCCGGGTGCATACTTCCTCTTCTTTCAATAATTGGTGGATACCTCTTCAATGGTCACAGCAAGATTGAGTCAGCGGTATCGGATGAGGCACCAGAATTGAGAGCCAGAATATTAAAATACGTAGGACTCAGAGAAAATTGTAATATTAGTCCCCATTCCAATTAATTTAATGGCCTTGGACATCGTGTTTAATGCTTTTTAAGATCTTAATTTTCCCCAAATCCATTCAATGTCTTTTAATGTTTTTAATGACCCGTGGAAACGCTAAGGCCAAACAAAAAAGATGTAAACCCTCTACACAAAAATGTAGAGGGTTTTTGAAAAAATGCCAACCGCAAAGTTTTTTTTCGACGTAGAAATTCTCGGTCGGTCGGGTTACCGGAAACACACTACTTTTTTTTTCTCCGCCTAATATTGTCCCCGTGCATAATCACAGGAGTGAACACGCTTTTTAGAAGCGTTGTGACATCTCAAATGCTACGTATTGTAAATTAAACGCATGCAACTCACATACAACATGTGAATCATCCAACTCATACCTAAAACATAAAAGATTTGTACTACCCTCGAGAATAGAGTTCCAACTCACAGAAATTCGAACTCAATCTCAAAGAATCGTGAATATTTTTTGTCGGTGTGTTTAATCAGTTTTGATTTAAAAGATGAGTGCATCCAATTAAACCAAATTGTTCCACTGTAAATTTTATTGATATACAGATCGAATTGTCTTTTATTGGAGACATACACATCACATATTCTTACCTTCATTAGATGTATTGAAGGGTAGCCGAATGGCTGAAATGATGTTTTCTTTCTCGCCATTTACAGAAATATTCGCACTCTGATTTGGAATAGCTCTATTCATGCCCGCTTTTAGGGCCCTCCTCAGCCGGATCTCCTCCAGGGTGCTCACTCCAAAGTTGTGTGATTCATCTGTCAAGAAACTTTTTCAATTCATGCCCATAAACACTGGAGACAATTTCAGTATTTAATTTGTCTCTCGAGTTGAACTCACCAGGCTTGCATCTTTTTCTTGGGGAGGGGCCGTCTCCTTCCTCAGAGAATTGGTCTGGTAGCAGAAATACAAAAATATTATAATAGGGCAAAACACACTGCAAAATAGTAATTCATCATTGGGGTTGGGAGGTGGAATGTCTTTGGGATAGCAAAGACAATCATCGAACCTTATCGCAAAACAGCATGCATTTCACGTCCTGAAGAGGAGACTGAATGGAGAAACTCTCAGAAACAAATAACTGAAAAAGGCTGCAGTAAAGCCGAGAAAAGAATTTTAAATGAAGAACAGTCTGGTGAAGTCAATGGGTTGGAGGCTTGATGCATTTATTGCAGGGGTGTCCAAAATCGGTCCTCAAGGGCCGCTGTCCTGCCTGTTTTCCAGCTCTCCAAGGAGCAACGCACCTGATTCAAATTATCAGGATCGTTCTAATGCTGCTTCAGATCTGGCTGAGGAGCTGCTCATCTGAATCAGGTGTGTTGCAGCCGGGAGAGATGGGAAAACAGGCAGGACAGTGCCCCCCCCCCCCCCCCCCGGAAGTGGGGGGGGGCATGGACAGGGTTGTGGAGTAGCGTAGAGTCGGGTGGAATAGCATGGAGTTAGATGTACACGAACATCGTCTGCCTCAAGCAAAAGCCACACCACTGCAAAGGTGCCTTTGCAAAGGCTCGCGAAGAAGAAGAAGAAAAAAGCATAAATTGGTGAACGGGACACATGCATGCATGTACACAAAATTGCAAATTTGCATTAAACATACACGTCCACACACTCGCTGAACTCAGTGTTTCACTTCTGTTCATAGTTCATCAGTTCAATAGAGCCCAGAAAATAGTGGTGCCAGGCTTGAAATGCTTGTTTTTTTGAAAAAGATCTTTTTCTCCATTTTTTTCCCAAGGAGAAAACAGAAATCTGATGAAATTTAGCTATTTTTTAATGCCAACTGACAATGAACAGCTGAACCAAGAGTGAGTCTCCTCTTTCTTTTGGTAGGCTGCACGTTCATAACACAATAGATTACTATAATCTGTGGGCCTAGCAAATCAGTCAAACCCCAACAAAACAGCTGAGATTGAGGGGCTTGCTCCAGCAAAAATGGGTGGGACTCAATGAATTAAATATTGCTTTTCAGTTAATTTATTAATCAGAGATGAAAGTGGACTTTCCTGAAAATTCCGTGAAAAAAAAAAAAAAAAATATATATGTGTGTGTGTGTGTGTGTGTGTATGTGCGCGCGTGCGGCGCGCGCGCACACACACACACACACACACACATGCGCGCGCGCACGCACGCACTTGGCC